ACAGTGCCACTCCCTTAGAAGTTACTTTCTTTCAAACCACCACAGAGAGGAACTAAGAGTGTCTTCAAAGCTTTGTGCCTGTGGGTGGCCTTTGAGTGGGAAAGGTCAGCTTTGGGATTCCACAAACTGTAGCTTTCAGGTGAGTGATGGTAGGGCATATTGACTTTCATTGTTGTGTGCCTGCTGGCTGTATTGACAGCAGTGGGGTGGTGGTGGAAGAAGGTTGTAGGTATACCCTCTAGGCCATGCTAGGTCTTTCTGGAATGTCCCAGTAAGAAGAATATGAGGTGCCTTTTTCTTCCAGCTCCAGCAAACTCACCATAGAGGGTCACTTAGCTCCTTACAGTCATAGCTCAATGGCTGTTGTTGGACTATCCCCCTCAGTTGGCTGCTGTCCTCATGAATAAACAACTCTGGACAGATACAGACACAATACGATGATGAATGACCTTGGCCTTGTTCACTTCGTTCAAATGATAAACTGGGGGGTTGAGGTGGGGGTGCCTCTAGTAAATATTGGAAATAAACACAGGAAACATAACAATATGAGACACGATTATGTTTCAGATCTTGAAGCAGAGAGGTGCTTTGAGTTTTTACTGAAGCTTTCTCTGCTCAGGAAGTGTCAGTTTCTTGATGCCTTCTGCTGATTCTAGCCTGGCTTACTGTAGTCCGTACCTCCCATAAGCCCAGACAGCCTCTAGATTGGACAAGGACAATAGATATTTCAAAGTGGCAGTGACCCTCATAGACCTGTGGTCAGTACAGTCTGTCCTATCTGTTCTGGCTCAAGGCCCCTGTGTGTGTGTGTCCCATTCCAGGGCAGATGAAGGTTGCTTCTGCTCAGCCCTTCAGAAAACCTTCCCTTCACAGTGGACTTCAGTTCCTAGCGAGCTTCACCTTTTCAGTTCTTTTAGAGCAACAATTAATGTCTTGAGTCTGTGAGGAATGGGGAACCAAGGTTTGGCCTTCCCTTCTGCCACCTTGGCCTTGTAGAAGATTCCGTTTAGCTTACAGAAATCTAAACGTTACAGTTTCTTAGCTTTTAAAATTATTAAAGCAGCACATACAAAAGGTGTCTGCTGGAAAAGCATGGTAAGTCACTACCCTCCGGCCACACCATGAGGGCTGGTGTGCTACCCTTACTGCCCAGCCGGGCACAGGTCCAGAGCCTTCCCAGAGGCGGCTGCGGCTGAGTGGGTGAATCAGCACTTCCTATCCGGTCCTCACCTTGCAGACTCCTGGGGAAGGCTGGTGCACTCCATCTCCTCCCCTTTCCTTGGAGCTGTGATTCACTCAGGTCAGGACCCAGTTTGAGCTGAGTCAGTGGGTGGGATCCACAGGAAGGATGCAAGAATTAGCCTGCGTTCACTGCCTGGGCTGGCTCACTTAGCCTGACTCCAGCCCATCCTGGGTCCTGGAGCATAGCTGCATCTACCTTTGCTGGGCTTTGCTGCTTGCCCTGGCCCCTGCTGTCAGCATTCTTGGGAGGGTCTACAGTGTGTGTTTATACTAGATGCATGCTACATGTTTGATTCGAGTTTGACCTTGTATATCTGAAAGCCTGACTTATATGCTATTAGTCATTTAGATATGTATATAATTGTGTTACTGTTTAAGGTCACACACCATTAAATGATTTTCAAAACTTTACTTTTGTTATGGTAATGGTTTGGTTAGGTTTTTTTCTGTTTTTGTTTTGTTTTTTGTTGTTGTTTCAAGACAGGATTTTTCTGTGTTAACAGCCCTGGCTGTCTTAGAACTTACCCTGTAGACTAGGCTGTCCTCAACCTCACAGAGATCAGCTGTCTCCTGAGGGTTGGGATTAAAGGCATGAGCCACCATGCCTGGCTTCTGGCCAGGTGTTTTGACAGGTTCTTACATAGTCCAGGCTGGACTTGAATTCACTATGCCCCTGAGGCCTTGAACTTCTGATTCTCTCTGTCTTCCCAGTGCTGGGACTACAGGCATGAGCCACCACATCTAGTTTTGTTGTTTTTGTTTTGAGACAGGATCTTTTTAAGTAGTTTAGGCTGGCTTGCAACTTGTGATCTTAAACACACACACACACACACACACACACACACACACACACACAGGACACTGGATATGTCAACATACTCAGCTTTAGACTTTTAACACTTTGAGTTGCTTTCACACTATTTGGAGTGATCGTACATCCTAAAAGGCATGTGTGTTCAGAATCTTCTGGTTTCCAAACCTTGCTCTTGAATTGACCTGGGCTTAGTCACTGAGACATTGGGAGGGCAATCTGTCTTTAAATCTGTTCTTACAGAGAGATTTGCTATACTCACTGACTGAGAGAATTCTTGACTCGTGTCAATATTGATTACACTTTCTCCACAAATGGCTGTGTCTGTTAAGTCAGTTAACTGGAGGTGTATTTCTATTGGTCTTTTTCTCTTCTAGAATATTTTATTGAACGCAGTTGGTGTTTAGGGTGCTGGGCTGGGCTTTCTGCTAAGAAGGTCAGAAGGTGAACTAACTTAGCTTACAGAGGGCACTCTTTCTGTTTTGTTTTTGATCAAGATAGGATTTCACTGTGTAGCCCTGGCTGTCCTAGAACTCACTCTGTAGACCTAACTGACCTTGAACTCAGAGATCCACTTGATTCTGCCTCCCAAGTGCTACAATTAAAGATGTATGCCACCATGCCAGGTTTGGCACTTAAAAAAAAGTGTGTGTGTTTGTGTGTTCATGTGTGCACAAGGGACCCTTTTTTTATAAAAATATTTGTTTTTATTTATCTGTACCTGTGTTTATGTGCACCGTGTGTGCGCCAAGTGCCTATAGAGACCAGAGGTCACTGTGTCCTCTGGAACTGGAGTTAATCCAGTTGTGAGCAACCTGATGTAGGTCCCAGGAACCAAACCTAGTTTCTGTGGAAGAGCAATAAATGCTCTTAACCATGGATGCCTTTGTTCCTGGAAATACTAGCCACCTTCTTGACAGGGTCAACTTAAAACACTTTTCACTTTCTGTAGAACTTGCAATGTTATTGGGCCTCAGGCACCCTTTGGTCTTGGAGATGTCAACCATGCTTCCCAACATTTTGGTCATTGCCACTGCATCCCAACTCTAAAGTACAGTGACCTAGAGAAGGAACGTGTTTCTTGGTGGCCAAGGCAGAAAGGCCAGGAAAACCTGAGGAAGAATGTACAAGAGCCTAAGAGAAGAGATTCCCAGTGCAAAGGAAGATGCCAGAGTTATTTTACCAAGTTCCTGCCAACAGTGACATTTGTAATGCTTCCATCCCTTCATAAAAATTAGTCAGACCTGCTGGCACATGCCCTTAATCCCAGCACTCAGGAAGCAGAGGATGGATCTCTGTGAGTTTGAGGCCAGCCTGTTCTACATAGCAAGCTGCGGGTCAACCAGAGCTGCATAGTAAGACCCTATCACAAAAGTATCTCTATGTTCTTATGTCTTGTGTGTGTGTGCCATATTTTCATTATCCATTCATGTGTAGAGGGGCATATAGACTGGTTTCATTTCCTAGCCACGTGGCTTCAGCAGTGTGCAAGTGTCTCTGCGGTAGGATGTAAATCCTTTGTGTGTTTGCCTGAAAGTGGTCCAGCTGGGTCGTAGCGTACTTCTGTTCTCAGATTTTTGAGAACCCTCTATAGTGATTCCCATAGTGAGTTTACACCCCCACCTATAGTAGATAAAGGGCCCTGTTTCTTTATATCCTTGCCAGCATTTGTTGTCATTTGTGGGTTTTTTTTTGTTTTTGTTTTTTTGTTTTTTGGTTTGTTTGTTTGTTTGTTTGTTTTTTGTTTTTTTTGAATGACAGCTATTCTGACTAGGCTGAAGTAGACTCTCAATATAGTTTTACTTTTCAGTCTCTTGATGGCTTAGACTTTATTGAACATGTTTAAATATATTTATTGGGAGGTCTCTGTAAAGTTACATAGCTCTTTTTTTTTTTTTTTTTTGATTGGGTGGATTTTTTTTGGTTTAGAGTTTTGAATATGTTTTTTGTTTGTTTGGTCTGTCAGTTTGGTTTTTTTTTTTTTTTTTTTGAGACAAGGCCTCACTCTGTAGTCTTGACTGACCTGGAACTTCTATGTAGATCTCAAACTCACAGAGATCCACCTGCCACTGCCTCTGGAGTGCTGGGATTAAAAGCATGGGCCACTATGCCCAGTTTGTTTAGTTTTTGGAGTTAGTTTTCTAGCTGTTAATCCTGTCAGGTGTGTAGCTTTGATCATCTCAAAATCTGTTTCCTTTGCTGAACAGGTTTGTGATTTTGTGAGATCCCATTTGTCAACTGTCAACTAGAATCCTGTTCACAAGTTTTTGCCTATCCTGTATCTTAAAATGTTTTCCTCTCAGTTTCAAAGTTTTAGGTCTTACATTAAGGTCTCTGATCCACTTGGGTTTATTTTTCATTCAGGTGAGAGAGAATGAGCCAGTTTTGTTCTTCAATATGTGGATATCTACTTTTCCCAGCATCGTTTGTTAGAGGATGGCTTTCCTCCAATATATATTTTTGTCATCTTTGTCAAGAATCAATGGGTTTATGTTTGGATCTTACAATCTGTCCCATTGATCTAGATACCTTTTTTTTTTTTAAATCCATGTTACTATGGTTTTGTAACATAATTTGGAAACAGGTATGGTGATACCTCTGGCATTCTTTTTTAGTGCTGGGGATTCAAACCTACATCCTCTGCTTGTCCCGCAGTCCCTTTCACCCACTGAGCCATTTCCCTAAGCCCAGCATACCCTCATTTGCTTACCTGAGATATTTTGTGTTTTCAGAGGCAATTTAATATTGTTTTTACTATTTCTATAAAAAGAAACAAAATTGGGATTTTGATGAGATTGTATTGAATCTGTAGATTGCTTTTGATAAAAGAGCCATTTTCACAGTGTTAATTCTTCCAATCCATGAGGAAGGGGCTGACCTTCCACTTTAGAGCTGTTGGGGGCACTGTTCAGGTCAGTAACTGCTGCTGTGTGTTTGATTTCCCTAGAAAACCTCCCCTGCCTCAAAATGGGACCCTGGCTCCTACCCCAGTTCCTGTGAGCCAGCCAGTGACAGCTTCCTGTGGGGATGCCTGGGACCCAGCAGAAATCAGAGTCTTTGGAGATGGACTCTGACATGTCGCCAAGCTGCAGGCTCAGTGACTTGAGCAGAGGTGGCAGTCTGGAGAGTCGGAGCAGCAGTTCTCGGTCCAGAAGCTTCACTCTGGTGAGTGGTTTCGTGAGTTCTAATTGGTGTTAATAATAAAAACCTGAGTAGATATAGGGGTAAATGCTGAAAGACAGAGAGACAAAGGAGCAAGCCACAGCCACACTGCACCGTGCCAACTTCCCAGTGGAAAAGAGAGCAAGCGCCTATCTCCTCCCATCTTACATCCCTCTCTCTCCCCAGCCATATCACTTCCTGTCTGTCTCTACAGACCTCCAGAACTCTATGGTTAACTAGTAGCTAGCTCCACCCTCTGATCTTCAGGCAAGCTTTATTGTTAGAGCACAAAAAAGATATCACCACAGTGAGTGGTTGCTTTCTTTAAAACGTTTAGATGCTCTGGTTGGTTGATTTGGTTGATTTGGTCCTAGCCCTTCATCCCCAAGCAGAACAGCTTACAAAGCCCTGTTGGATGTCTCAGTTTTAATCATATTAAATTTTGCACATGGCAGTGGAACAAATATCTGGTCACAGATAGTAACTTAGGGCAGCTTAGCTCCCAAAAGGACAAGGACTGTGCCTGAAGTCACTGACCACCCAGGCCAGGGGCCATGGGAGCCATCAGGCAGGATAAAGACAGCTCACTTTCAGACTAAGGCCTTTACAAAGCCCAGTCTTTCTGATCCAGACCCTTACACGGCGTCAACCAAGCCGAAAGCATTAGGTCTTTTGAAGGAGTTGGTTTTTTACAAATACTCCCTTTCTATGCTCCCAGTCCTGAGATGGTAGACCACCTGTTGTCAATTTCCTGACTCAGATGTCGAAGTTGTCATGCCATTTCATAGAATGTCCCATGTTCACTCCAGGAACAGAACCACGCTCACAGTTTTGAGTTCTTGTCTCTCCCCCTCCCCCCAGGGTTTCTCTGTGTAGCCTTGGCTATCCTGGAACTCACTTGAGTTCTTATTCTTAATGTGTTTGTTCCTGCAGCCTAAACTACCCAAGGGCACGTCGGAACATCCTCTAGAAAATAAAGGGATTTTGGGTTGTTGGAAAGAAGAAAGATGTCTTCATGGGGTTAAATCCTAAGGAATTTAATCTTAATCTGTGCCCACTCTTTGAGAATCAGGTACACCCCACAATACTCTCTAATCATTGTTATCTATGACGAGGGTGAAAACAGAGGTCCAGATTCTTTGGCAAGGTTTTAAGATCTAACACACAGTGAACTCTCGTGAATCCCGGCCCCCACCCAAGCTCTCAAAGCCAATGGACTTTATGTCCCAGAGTCACAGAGCGTCTGGATTAGATAGCATTGCCAGCTCTTGTGATACCCACTTACACCCCCTTAGTCACAGAGTGAGGATGTAGGACTGTTGAGCTGTGGGACCGCTCTTCTTGTGGTGGAGTTAGGTACAAGTACACACAATGTCCTAGGATTTTGATAAACCATTTGCTCTGGGATTTCAAGAAGAAAAAAAAAAAAAAAGATATGCAGATGGGTTGGTAAGTGACCCAGGGCTGGCTTCTTTCCCACACCAGACCAGAAACTATTTGAAGACATAGCCAAAGAACTGTTTAATTCATTAGACATTACTTAATGCCCTCTGTGCACAAGAACGGAATAAAATGTGTTTTTATTCAAGATCACATTAGAGATGTGTATAGAGCTAGGGCAGTGTGGCACAGCTTATAAGGCTGTCTGAACATCAGACAGACGAGAGATCAAGGGCTCTATTGCCGGTTTAAAGAAGTTTAAAGCCACCGAGCCCAGCTGCAAGCCTTTGAAGCCATTCTTCTTCAGTTCTATAATCAAAACTGTACACAGACTGCATTCTTTGCTGATTTGTTTGTGTCCCTTTCTTAACTTCAGAAGTACAGGTTGAAGTTTAGCCACAGGGGGAAAAAAAAGGAAGAAAGGAAGAAAAAAAAAAAAAAAGAAAAACCCAGTGTCTAGTTTGAAATAAGCATAATTAAGCCCCTGTTCTGCTGTTGGGAAGTGCCATGTGCACTTACGGTGGCCCTGCCCAGGCTGCCAGAGACATCACAATATTTAAGCTGAGAGCCTTCTCCCTGCCTTTATGCCGTTTTGGCGTCAGCTTACATAATTAAATCAGTAAAGCACTGTTCAAATGTCAGGCAGGTTTTTGGTGTCTTTGAGGACGTATGATCTGACTGGAGAGGTGGAGAGGTGGCTCAGCAATCAAGAGCACTGGCTGCTCTTGTGGAGGACCCAGGTTCACTCCTAGCACCCACGTGCTGTCTGTAACTCCAGTTCTAGGGCATCTGATGCCCTCATCTGACCTGTTAGGGACTAGGCATATGGTGTGCTTATGTTCATGCTGGTAAAACACCCACACATATGGCATAACAAATCTTGGAGAGGAAAAAAAATAAAGCAATACATGATCATTAAATCAGACCCCATCAAGACAAATATCCTTGCTTGCTATCTTGAGGACAAGTAGTGAAGAGTCCTGGTCCAGATCTCCTTTCAAAACATCTGTTTAGTCACCTCTGCTTGCCTGCCTGCCTGCCTGATTGTGAATGAGTCTTGCTATGCAGTCCAGGCTGGCATGGAAATAGCTACATGTAGCCCAAGCTGCCCTCAAACTTTCCAGGGTCCTCGAGTGCTGGGTTCCCAGGTATGTGCCACAACACCAGTCTTTGTCGTCCTGGAAAAACAAAAGGAAAAACAAAGAGCTAACTTAATTATAGGAGTAAAAGTGAGTAGTTTTTTGGGGTGGTTTATTGTTTTGTTTTTGTTGTTGTTTTTTTGTTTTTCTCTGTGGCTTTGGAGACTGTCCTGGAACCAGCTCTTGTAAACCAGGATGGTCTCGAACTCACAGAGATCTGACTGCCTCTGCCTCCCAAGTTCTGGGATTAAAGGTGCGCACCACCACTGCCAGGCAAAAGTGAGTAGTTTTTAAGGTAGAGGTTATTTTAGAGTGTCCATTTAAGTCTTCTCAGGTCTTTAGTTCAACCAATGGTTTGGAGTTTTTTTTTTTTTTTTTTTTTTTTTCTTTCTCTAGTATCTTTGCCCTGCCCTGCCACCCCCAAATACTCCTATTCCTAGACTGTTCTAACTCAGATAGATCTGTACTATTGCCTATTTGGATTACTGTCATTCATTTCAAGTTTGTCATAGGCTGGGAGCTGACTAAGTGCTTGCTGTGCAAATGTCAGGACCTGAGGTCAAATCCCTAGAATCCATGTAAAGCCTAGTGGAGCCCTGTGCATCTACATTCTCAATGTTCCTGCTGTGTGATGCAAGGCAGAGACAAGTAGATCCTTGGAAGCCAGAGGCCAGAAGGAGAGGACTGACATCCAAGGCTGTCCTCTGATCTCCAACCTCTATACGCCTACCATGGCTCATGAATGCCTGCACTCACGTTTGCCCATGTAAACACACACACACACACACACCAAAGAAAAGTTTGTCACCTATCTATTAAAAAATTAGCGTATATAGGGGTCGGATGTGGTGGTACATTCCTTTAATCCCAGCATTGGGGAGTCAGAGTCAGGTGGATCCCTGTGAGTTTGAGGCTAGCCTGGTCTACATAGTGACCAGGACACCCAAGGTGACAAAAAAGTCTATATTAATTGTACTGAGTGATGGGTTTTATTGTGACATTTCCCACTGTCGTTTGTCTTTTATCTGTATGCTTCCCTCTGTTTGAATTAGACTAGAGAGCTCTTTGCTATTTTACAGGAGTGAATGTTGATCCTTGGCAAGGCTTTCTCCTCCTCTTTCATCTTTTATTTTTTGGGTTTTTTGGTTTTTTTTTTTTTTTTTTTTTTGAGACAGGTTTTCTCTGTATAACTGTCCTGGAACTCACTTTATAGACCAGGCTGGCCTTGAACTCAATCGAAATCTGCCTGCCTCTGCCTCCCTAGTACTGGGAGTCAAAGTATGTGCCACCACCGCCCAACTGATGGCTCTGTACTTTGTGGGAGGCTTGTTCAGTGCACATTCTAATTACCCAGTATACTTAGCACTTAGAGTTTTCTGATTTCAAAATTAGTTCATAAAGTATTTCTTCAAAAACCGCAACATACACAACATATACATTAGGGGAGAGATTGCTTCTCATGTCTTGAAGCAGGGTTTTCCCCAGAGACTTGTAAACCTTACCTGAAGTTGGCGTACTGGGCTTAGAATACGTGAGAGATGGTTTTTAGCATCTGAAGATTATTGGTACATTAAAAAATAACATTTATAGCAATAATTTCATTAAAATATTCCTGTCAGCAGACAACCTTTCTAGTTAATGCAGAACAACTATTTTATAACTCACTCTGTCCCAATAAATAGGACATGTATATTTGTCTCCATTTCCTAAGTGATTATCACAAACCACTTCCCAACCAGCCACTGCACAGGGAGCCATTGTGGAGTCTTACTGCCTCCTTCATGTGGGTGTCTTTTAAAAGTTGAAATGTAACTCGCATTCTTTAAAGTTCACTCGAAGTGTACCACTTAACCATTTTTACTATGTTTACAGGCCCGTGCAATCATCATCTGTCATTTTTAGAACATTTTTATTCTACCTCAGTGGCCAGTTTACCCAGAACCATCTAAATATTCAGTTCAATGCAGTCCCAGGCAAAACACCAATGACATTCCTCATAAAACTTGAAAAACAATCCAAAATGCACGTGAATCCACAAAAACACCAGATAGTCAAAGCTTTCTTGAGTATAAACAGAGGCTATTAAATTGACTGTCTCCAGAGTATGCCACAATGCTGACTGGAGAGGCAATTCAGGGTTAAGAGCAGTCACTGCTTTTGCAGACGGTCCACTTTTGGTTTCAGCATCCTCATGAGAGCTCACGCCTATAACTCTAGTTCAGATATAACACTTTTTTTTTTTTTTTTTTTTTTTGCCATCCATGGGCACTGTATGCAGCTGGTGCACAGATATACATACAAGCAAAAATACCTGTAAACATTATGTTAAAGTCTACAAGGAGTTATAATCAAACAGCCTGGGGGTGTGCAAGGCCTTAGGTTTAATTGATAGCTCCATACAAACACACATGCACAAATCAACAC